GCGAACAATTTCCAAGCGACAGATTAAAAATAAACGCATCGTAATCGTGAAGGAAGACTTTCGCATTAACCGGAATTTAAAGTATACGGTGTGGAAACAAAAACTTTCCCCTTTCTGTAAAGAATCAGTAAAATTAATTGTGTGGTTACGACTCTATTCACTAAATTCTGTGCTAGTTAAGAAGTTTCACTCAGTAAAGAAAGAAAGACAACACGATAACAACCCCCAACACTTTGTTATATTCTAAAATTTTCCCGGAGTCTACAATTTTTAGCAGATTTTAAGACGGCAACCGTTTACCGTCTAATTGTTATACACTTGAAATCAGGAGTCTGTGGCCCTTAGTCATTGATTTGTGAATTAATTTCAGACATACGCAGACATATACAGCCTCCTGATTTCGAGTGTACGCAGTTTGTTCCATTGTACAATCACTGTAATATAAATTGTTCTTTGGTGAGGTCGTTTGTTAAAGTTTATGAAGAGAAATAAAAAATTCTCTTTTTCAATTTAATAAAGTGTAGATATTTGGAGAATTTACTAAAGGGGGCCAATTTATATAGCTTATTTATTGGAAATATTTCATGATGATGTACAGGTATTTATATAACGACCTATTGACAAGGGTGTAATTTTCTTTTAAGTCATTTATTTTGAATTTAATTTCTGTTCATGTAATAAAATTCTTGCTTGTAAGAAGTTCTGAGATTAATAATGGTAACATGTATTTGTAATAATGAAAATTAAGGGTATTTTGAATGTTTATTTCATTGTTAGAAAGTAAATAGGGTTAGGAATAAGAAAGAGTTAGAAAATGTGCTCACGGATTTAAAAAAGAGAGAGGTTTAAATGCGGTTTGTAAAGGAGTAGAACTGGAAATGAGGTTTGTAAAGGAGTAGAACTGGATTTGATTTTAACAATATGGAATTTAGCGTATATTGCTAGGTATATGTTTCCCTCGCTCGCTATAGAAGAAAGATAAAGCTCATACTTCGAAGGAATGCATAAGTTGTCGTATAACCAGTAATCCTAACAAAATAGGAGGAAATAGTTACTGCGAGTGAAATTGTGTAAAGAAACCATTTGCTTTTTCATAATATTAGTGATACATGAAATATGCAGTTTAAAACATGTTTTTAAGTTATGTTTGTGTATATACAATTTGAAGGTTTCTGAAATACACTTATGTCAACTACATCCAAAACCTTGCATTTCGTAATAATTTGGTACGAGGTAGATTTTGAACATAAAAATATGCTATATTACTGGTAGGACCATATCATTCACCGACCAAGAAGCGATGATCTGTTGAAATAAAGTTCACAATTTTACTTACATGACTTACGTGCACAAATAAAACTCTTACAGGTCTTTCGTGTTTATTCAATTTTTGCTTGTCCATTTTACACAAGAATATTTCATCAGATAGTGTACACGTAAATTTATGGAAGACTATGTTTAATTGCATACGTAACTTTAACTTATTCAGATAACCTTTAACCCGAGTCATTGACTGAAACTTCTTATAAAACAAATGCAAATTAAACTATTCTATCGATTAGAAATTTACATAGAAAGAATAGGTTTAAGCAAAAACTCGAAAATTTTCCTAATATGGAAGGAGCGTTTACCTCCGACCTAATTACCTAATCTTAAGTTTCATGCAACTGGGACCTATCTTTATGTAACATCATAATTAGGAAGACACGTATCTTTTGCAGTTAATTTAAATGCAGCAAGAGTTTTGTACGTTTGTACCAATATTTGTAATTTATTATAATTTTGCTTTTCTAATTAACGGTACGGGTCGTAGACTGTAGTTGGAATGGGAAAGCTTATAATAACGCTCCTATTTTATTGGATGCGCGTATAGCTCATAGTGTACAGAATAGGCACTTTAGTTTTATAGGTCGTTTCGAGTATCGACAACAATTTGGATTACGTCAATCAATATCTGCCCGTATTCGTCTATGTTAGTGCATCGCATCTGTCCGTGACCGGATTATAATCCTCCTCTCGTTTTTTGAGTGACACACCACTTCACCGAGCGCGACAGGAATTATTCAATTTTGATATTTTCACTACCTCTATCTAGGGCGACTTTTTTAACTCAACAGAAACACGTTTAGTAGAGCACTTCTCGAGTGCCTTCCATACATAAAAGATATACTGACGACCGCATTTAGGCGCTCAGATCACTAGGTACCTGAGAACATTTTTTTCAGATAAGTAAACAAAAACGCTTTACTTTTATCAAATATACTGCTGTATCCCTTCAGTCAGGAGCATAAAGAATAAGTGCTGTTCCCCACGTTGGGCGCCAAAAATTATTGCTGTATGCATTGGCATGATTTCATTATACACCAACCAAATTACACTTGGCTACCTAGATCAAAAGTACACAAATTAAGTCTTGTAACAAACCCCCATCATCCTATAAAGTTTTAAATTTTAAATAACTAAAGATCTCAGGGTCCTGCTGGGTTCCGAAACGCTGGAAAACCTCAATACTGACGTATCAAAATCTTGACGTTTGGGAAGTCAGTAATTCAAATGAAACAACTAATTTTACATATGTTACCTAGGAGTTTTGAGAATTTTAAATCTAGTTGGATGTTGTGACGAATCGATAATTCTAATTTTGTATCGAAACTTAATAAAGAAGATACATGTACTTACTGCCAAAAATGGACACTAGGTGAGAAGCTGTAGAAAATGGATCACAGATGGTCATCCAAAACGCAGTAGTACTAGGGATAATGCTGAAAGTAATGCAGCAGTCACAGGTCGCACTAGTCTCTATAGATAATAAAGTTTTAGCTACTGAACCAAATTCAGCGTTGACAGGAACCCCGCCCACTCAAAAATAAAAGGTAAAATGAAATAAATAAAATAAAAAGTTCAGTTTCTGGACGCGATTATGAGCTGAGTTAGTTACAACAGCGATCTACATTTTGAATAGGACTGTAAAGTCGTCAGGAGATGGTATAAATCCTCATGAAGTGTGGTATAAGATGAAACTCCGGATAAAACACCTTCGAATCATCAGTTCGGCCTGCTATTTCCTTGTTTTAGATCAGAAAAAAACTGAAAATAGATACAAAAACTGAAAAATACTACTGGAGATGAACGATGTTGTTTTATTCCGAGTTGTCAAATTTAATGAAGAAACTCAAGAATGCGAAGAAAACGCTAAAGTATTCTTCAAGAGTACTGCATTAATTACATGATGCTACTGTGAGGTAAAAACGGATCAGTGTTAAAGGTTTGAGAATATCTCACTCAATCTGTTCTCTACTATCATAAGTGCATTAATGTTCAATGGAATTTACCACATAAGAAAAAATACAATGCTGAAAGGACGCCACACGTTGTTGGTAGGCTTAAATATTTATTAAATAAGTAAAATAAAAGTGATAGTTCTTATAGAAATAAATTAAGATCAGTAAGGTCCACTAGCTCCTGGAGTACCGTATTTACTTCCTCCGGAAGTGGTGTACGAAATTCCCGTTGATCCAGATCCGAGCCCACCGTGTCCTCCATGAACCAAACCGTGACCCCTTGAGAAACCGTGTCCACCGTGATGTCCATCTTCTAAAGTTTTCACAAACGTATTTTTGTCTTGAGAAACAACATGTTCGCCACCACCGTGACCTCCAAGAGTTTCAGCAACAGCCCGCTCGGCGTCGTGTTGGTTGTCGTATTTGAGATAGTAGACTTCGGGTTTGCTTTGCACAGTGTTACCTCCTGCAATGCCGGATGGAATGGTAATTGATCCGTGAGCTTCTTGTTTTTTGGATAGCACATAGACCGTGGTTTTGTCTTCGGACGCGCCTTGAGGGGCAACAATTTCGGGTATGATGGACGAACTTGCGTCGGGCGACTTGACGAACAGTACGCGGGTTTTTATCGGGGCTGCACCCAAACGGATTTGGAGGCGCGTGTGGCCTGCACTTGGTGCGCCGTAAAAGTGTACTTGACTATCAGCAGCACCGGGCAAAGCATCTCCACTGCCATGCTCGTAAGCGTTGGCGTCATATGAGATTTTAGGGAAATAACTTACTTCTCCATGACCGCTGCTCGCACCCTGACCACCGAAACCAGGTTGTCCTACCGAAAAATGGCTGCCGCCGCCTGCACCTCCCGGACCAATGCCGAAACCACCATGACTTGGATAATAACCACCTTGGCCTTGTCCATATCGGAAAGCACCACCGCCGTGTCCACCTAACCCTCCATGTCCACCTAATCCTCCATGTCCACCAAACCCTCCATGTCCACCTAACCCTCCATGTCCACCAGAGCCATATTGATGGTAACTGCTGCCCGATCCGTAGTACCCACCCGGTCCACCACCAACGGGAAGATAGCTCCCGGTAAGCGCACCAGCAAACGCTGCGTTAACCAAGTAAAATAATACCTTCAAGAAAATCAAATTAGCAGAGTGGAGTTCCATCAGCTTAACTTACCAAAGCAGACTTCATTGTTGCTAACACAGATCAATGTGATACCCTCTGAGAATATTCGCACATTTAAAGCAACCTCCCCACCGTAGCTCTTCACCATAAGACAATATCCGTATGAATATTATGCGTTTAAAGTGATTACCAAAATTGTTACAAAATTTTTGAATAATTCGATTTGTCCCGATTACAACTATTAAGCGAGATGTATTCACTTTTACGTGGCCGTTGCAACAACACAAATTTAGCACGAAATTTGCACTGCATTTTCGTTTACACACGCGGATGTATTTGTTTGGTAGTCGAGGGGTCTGATTTAAGCGTAAACATTGACATAGGGGTAACGCTAGGCTATTTGTCCAATGAATTATAGCAAGTTTCGCATTATTTTGCATAATTTAAAGCGCGCAAATGTGTGTTTAGGCAATTGCAGGACGAGAAACAATTTATCTTTAACTCGCTGACGAGTGGTCCGTCTAACGAATTTATTAATTAAAAATTTCCTAAAAACCGAGCTTTTCAAGAGGGAAGTTTTTTGTTTTAACAGTGGACCGAAACGAGTTGCCGGCTTTAAATCTAATTACTTTCCGTAATAATGTTTCGTAACTTTAATGCTTACGGGTTAATTTGCATAACCTAAATAAATTAAAAAAAGAATTTTCCTTTGACGACATTAATTTTTTTCTTATTATGGGGTAAAAATCGTGTCATTTTAATGAGAGCTGTGGTAATGACGTAAATTTATCAATTTGTTTCAGGCGGTTGTGTTGTAGTGTAAGATCTGATTAATGTAGTGTTTAACGTTTATTGACGAAATGTCAGGGATTCTCACCCTTTTCATCCCTTGTCACTATGTGCTTAACGAAGGTAGGAGGAACCCCAGCGGTGATAAGACAAATAGGCATGCAAGTTTTTAGTCATTATCGCTGGGAGCGTAGTCGAAAGTTGTTTCATGTTCATCAATTTATCAGTTTCCGCATTTACTGTTTCGGTACCATCAATAATTTGAATAATCGAATCACCCCAAAGTTAATCTCCTACATTAACAACCCAATGAGACCTAGTAGATATGAATGGTTCCGCTTCCACTGGGGTGTGGGTAAAACGCGGACTCGGGCTCGGACTTGGTGGGTAAAAGCCGGACCCGGACCCGAACTTGGTTCGTACAAACCGGACCGGAACCCGGGTTGAGATTTTGTGGACAAAAGCCGGACCCGGACCCGAACTAAGCCACGGTCAGGAATCACTTTTGTGGCTTTCTTGTAGTGAGCCTTTATAGTTTTATTATTTTTAGCAATACATGTTTCTGAACTATACAGGGTGGTGACTTGCGTAACGCATCATAGGGATTTCAATGTAAAATTCATAACATGCAATTATTGGCTCCACAAATTATTTTAGAGCAAAAATGTATTAAGGTTTTTTGTAGAAAAAAAATTTTTACGTCAATTAACCGTATTAGTTTTCAATGTTTTGCATAATAAAGATGGAAAGTTGGAAAATAAAACCCCCATCTTTTTCAATAATCTGTGATGCCATGGAATTTTATAATACAAAAACTACGCCAATATCCGTCATGCCATGGAATGTCCGCTATAAAACAAATCAAATTCTATCAAAAAGTATTATATTTAGAACATCGAATTCAACATAAAGAAAGACCAAATTACTAAAAACGGTTTCCTAATATAACAAATTACAATAACTGTTCGAATAAGCCACCATTAACTGCAGGACAGTACCCAAGTCGATCATAAAATCCATTTCGAACTGCTGCTAATTGATAACTGGATATCTTTTTGTTTTAGAAAATTCCATGGCATCGCAGATTATTGAAAAAGACGCGGGTTTTATTTTTCCAATTTTCCGTCTTTGTATGAAAAAAGTTGAAAACTAATACGGTTGATTGGCGTAAAAAAATGTTTTCTACAAAAAACTTTAATACATTTTTGCTCTAAAATAATTTGGGGAGCCAATAATCGCATGTTATGAATTTTACATTGAAATCCCTATGATGCGTTACGCAAGTCACCACCCTGTATAAATAAATAAAATACGAGTGCAATAATTTCAAGATGGTCCCGCATCCGTAAATGCCGGATGTGTGCGCCACTTCTTGGTTTTTTAAATAGAAACATACCATTCTCTGTTTTTTAACCCGCCGCAAAATCTTTTAGTAAAGAATTGGGTAAACTTTCAGTTGAAAAATCAGGCGACCAACGAGCAGGTGCATTTTTCGTACAACGCATAGCGTTAGAAATACAGAGAGGAAATTCTGCAAGCGTTCTGGGTACCGTGGAAAATTCATCAGAACTTGAAGAATTATTTTCCTTGCCACAATAGTGCCTTAAATATTATTGTAATGTATTTTATGTAAAATATAGTGTGATATTAGAAAAAAAAACTTTTCTCTAATAATTTGAAAATGCAAGGGTTAATTCAAAAATTCATATCTCTTAAACTAATAGCTCAATAACTACCAGAACTATACAAAATGTTAATAAAAGTGGCCTCAAAAATTTACCTTTACACTCATTTCTGGCATCACAAATAGTAATTGCAACTTGCAATTATAAAATGGCAGCAACTCTGGAAACTTTTTCAAGACTTTCGGCAGTCACTAAAAAAATCCTTAGACTTTAAGGATTTGAGTATTAAATAAGACGAGCGATATTGAGATAAACAATAAACTTGGTCGGAAGTTACACTATTTACCTCCGATTTCTTTTTTTTGATGATACGAACTATATCTTTACTATGCATATCAATGGAAAGATAAAACTTTGTACTTGCAAAATTTTTTTCCTGGTCGATCTGAGACAATTTTTTTTTCGGGCCTCAAAAAAGGACAGAGTATAACCTTCCTTTTTTTACCAAAAATCGACTACACCAAAATTTCTCGGGAAAACACTTTTTCTTATTAATTTTGGTGCGTAGAATCCAAAACAATTCGCACTTTTTCGATCAGACTTCTCAATCAAAAGTTATAGACTAGAAACCAATTTCGAAAGAAAATTCAAAGGGCTGTAACTTTTAAACTAGTAGCCCAATCTTGGAACTGTTTGAAATTATGGATTCTACAGGCCACATTCTATAAGAAAATTTTTTTCCGGGTCGATCTGAGACAATTTTTTTTTCGTGGCTCAAAAAAAGGCAGTGTATAACCTTCCTTTTTTACCAAAAATCGACTACACCAAAATTTCTCGGGAAAACACTTTTTCTTATTAATTTGGGTGCGTAAAATCCAAATCAATTCGTACTTTTTCGATCAGACTTCTCAATCAAAAGTTATAGACTAGAAACCAATTTCGAAAAAAAATTCATAGGGCTGTAACTTTTGAACTAGTAGCCCAATCTTGGAACTGTTTGAAATTATGGATTCTACAGGCCACATTCTATAAGAAAATTTTTTTCCGGGTCGATCTGAGACAATTTTTTTTCGGGTCTCAAAAAAAGGCAGTGTATAACCTTCCTTTTTTACCAAAAATCGACTACACCAAAATTTCTCGGGAAAACACTTTTCTTATTAATTTTGGTGCGTAGAATCCAAAACAATTCGTACTTTTTCGATTAGACTTCTCAATCAAAAGTTATAGACTAGAAACCAATTTCGAAAGAAAATTTAAAGGGCTGTAACTTTTGAACTAGTAGCCCAATCTTGGAACTGTTTGAAATTATGGATTCTACAGGCCACATTCTATAGGAACATTTTTTTCCGGGTCGACCTGAGACAATTTTTCCTTCGGAGCTCAAAAAAAGGCAGTGTATATAACCTTCTCTTTTTACCAAAAATCGACTACACCAAAATTTCTCGGGAAAACACTTTTTCTTATTAATTTGGGTGCGTAGAATCCAAATCAATTCGTTCTTTTTCGATCAGACTTCTCAATCAAAAGTTATAGACTAGAAACCAATTTCGAAAGAAAATTCAAAGGGCTGTAACTTTTGAACTAGTAGCCCAATCTTGGAACTGTTCGAAATTATGGATTCTACAGGCCACATTCTATAAGAAAAATGTTCTTCCGGGTCGATATAAGACAATTTTTTTTCGGGCCTCAAAAAAAGGCAGTGTTATAACCTTCCTTTTTACCAAAAATCGACTGCACCAACATTTCTCGGGAAAACACTTTTTCTTATTAATTTTGGTGCGTAGAATAGTAGTAATAGAGGAAAATAATATCAAAGGATAATTCGTTTATGCAAACGACTTGCAGAAAGCGCATATTCTTTTTTTTGAAAAGCAAATTACCAAAAGTACCAAAACTAGAAAAAGATAATTTCTCATCTAATGACTTTCAATCCGATTTATTTAAAAGAACCCTCCGTCATTCATACTTCATACATGTTAGGACTAGACTATTTTATTTGATATGTACCTGAAATTGTGAATTGATATGCATTTTACATTCAAATATGATTTGTATAGTCATAAATATTCATAAATAATTAGATAATTTTATAATTCATACGAGAAAAGTAGTATAGTATTTAAATATTCATCTGCATTTGCAACCTCGAAAACCTTATTCTTTCCATGCGGTAGATGCACATATTCCACTGCAATTAATGAATTGAGATGATCTCCATTTGAGCTGAGCATGTGCCGACTTTATTCATTCATTAATATAAAAAACTCAAATTCTTAATTCTTCATCGATTGTTGATGCAAATATAATCCAATATACGAAATGGGCTAGCTGAAACGATATTTCAATCACTTGTGTTACTTTTCCCGTGATGAATGGAAATTCGTTTGCAATCACTCTTTACACCTTCTCCTCCCTTCCCACCCTCTTAATAGTTTCTTGTTAAATGCGCGCTTTTGCACCTCACATTAATTGTGCGTCCTGTGACATATGTCTAATTTAAATTAATGGACCAATGACTTTGGACGCCGCCCTTTACATTTAAACATGATATCCGAAATCCGTAGACACGAAATTCTGGATCAGAAAATATATAGTGAAAAATAATGAAATTGAAGAAATTTTTACTTCGTTAAAAATCACAAAACCAATTGTGTAAATT